CAGTTATCAGACTGACTAGTTGAAGTGATAAATATCTCAAGTTGGAAAAGTTACAAAGAAAAGCATGCATGAAACTATTCTTATTAAGCAGTAAAATAGATTTTTTTATAACATACCATTTTCTAGTTACTTTTTTTTCATTACAAATCAGTTTAGTACAGCTAATATTTGCATACAGAATTTCCTTGTTGCTGTAATAATGCTCACAAGTTCTGGCCATAACAAGCGTCATGCAAACTGTGTGCTAAAAAAAAACAAAATGATGAAACAAACTGCAAACTGATAGCTGAATTAAGCATAGTACTGTTGCATTAAAATATTATATGAAATTTGCTCTTCCCTAATATTATGTCTTAGGAGAGGGTGATGAATTTCAGTCATTCAACTAGTTCAATGTACTTTACAGTGTCTTTAATACAACAGGTTGCAACTATCTTTAAAGCCCTGTGAAAGAAATATAGACTGTAAAAGCAAGTTAAAAAAATAGATGGAAAAATAGATTTCCATATACAAATTGTTATATGAAAATAGATCAGTAAACCTCTCATGACCAGCATTTGGCTTCCAAGTGAAGTATATCAGGTGGTGAGAGGGTTAAAATGTGCAAGGAATTTAATAAACAGCTGAAGAATTGTTGATTTAAAATTTTTCACCTTTCTTTAATATATCTATTCTTCACTCAGGAAGGTTAGCATTATATAAAGGCTGCAAAATGTATGTACAAACACACTGATATATATAATTATATACAAGCTGAGTTTGGGGAGAGGGAAGATTCACTCTTTCTTTTTGGCAACTGTCAGTTCTAGCTTAGGCAGGCTTACACCTGCCTTAGTTGCACTGTCATTGCTTGAGGAAGAAGAAACTCTGGACTTTCGGGAGGAAATCGATGCACCACTCCCTTGGACGTTTTCATCATCACTTAATGTGACCTCATAAGAACCTTTTGACTTGGACCCCAAGCCGCCAAATGTGCCAAATTTTATTTTTGATTGCTTTCCTTTCTTTTTGCCCCCCTCGGCAGATATTGAACTGCCAGCTTCTAATGTACCACTTGGTGAGGAGTGTGCCGATTCATCTTTCTCTTCACTCAATGAAGATGATCTTTGTCTTGTCTTTTTGCTTGTAAACAAAGAAAACTCATATTTTGGAGCCTTTTCCACTTCTAAGTGTGTGGATACCAGACCACCTTCAGCTACTCCTAAACTAGCTTTTGAACTTTTAAGGTCTCCTTTTGAGCCAGAAATGGAAACATCTGGAAGGGTAGTATCCTCTTTTGCTTTAGATTTGAAGTTCAGTTTTGGCATTTTTATCTTAGATTTCTTTATTTTAACCTCACTTCCATCAATTTCTAAGCCAGTCTCACCAGACTTCTTCACCTGCACATCTGCTGAAGGAAAGTCTACATCAACTCCCACCTCTCGTTCTGCCAAATCTGGTCCAGATGATGTAAACTTAGGCATTAAAAGTCGTGGGAAAGTAATTTTAACATCAGAACTTTCTAGATTTCCACCTATCCCTTGAACATCCAAACCTCCTTTTACTTTGTATCCAGTAATCCCACCTTCCACTTTTGGCCCTACTCTTAAACCTTCTGAGCTCTGCATATCTCCTGTCAGATTCAGAGTTTGTCCAATTGAAATTCCTTCCTTTATCTTGGCATCTTTCAAAGAAATGTCAATTCCTGGAGTTGAACCTTTAACTGCAGCTGATGATTTAAAAGAAGGCCCTTTAATACTCAAGTCTGCACTTTCAATTTTGCCAGAGACATTAGCAAGACCAACATCTGGCCCAGTGAGAGAAATTTCCCCTTTTGGTAACTTAAACCCTTGCAGGTGTGAACCAGATAGATTTATTGAAGGTACAGTAGACGGCAACTCAGCATTTATCCTTGGCTTAACTTCACCAGAAACCTCTAAATCACTTTCAATCTTTGGTCCTTTTAAATGAATATCTAAATCTGAAGCAGAGACTTTTGGGGAAGAAATATCAACTGTTGGCAATTTAATTTTCCCTCCTGACCCTGGGATTCCTACTTTAGGAGCTTTAAACTGCATACTTCCTGAAGTATGCATATCACTTTTGATTTTTGGTCCTTTCAAATTAACAGCTATCTCTGGTACAGATGTCTCAGCTGAAACACCAGGTACTTTACCAATATCAATTGCACTGTGGGTCACATCTACACTAGGTACTTTTATATCTGTGGAAATTTTCTGGCCAGACAAATCCGTTTCTACCTTAGGAAATGAAACATCAATATCAGCAGCTGTTGCTTCAACCTTTGGACCTGACATATTAAAATGAGGAAGTTTGAATTTTGGCTTTTTGACCTTTACATCAGGCCCTTCAATACTTAGCCCAGAAGATGTTAATTCAGATTCTGGTGTCTTAAATCCCCCACTGATGTCTAAGTCTGGAGTCTTTAGTTCTGCACTAGGGCTCTGCAATGACGTTTCACCTTTTAGCTTTGGAGATTTGATGTCAAACTCAACATCAGGGAAATTAATTTTGCCAAAGAGTGGCTTTCTTGTTTTAGGTGCTTTTAAACCAAGATTTGTTGACATTGCTGCATCCCCACCTGCAACATTTAAGTCTGCATCTGGGGCATTAAGATTTATGTCACTGTCTATTTCAGGTGCACTTACATCAAAACCCCCTTTTTTGCCTTTAATTTTTGGACCACTCATATGAATTTTGGGCATTTTAAATTTTCCCTTCTTACCTTTACTCCCAACACTTAACTCAGGCACTTCAGAATCAAACTCTATATCAGGAGCATTAACGTCTACGGAAGGTGATTTCATATCTGCTTTAGGCGACTTAATGCCAAAGCCAAATTTTGGTTTCTTTACCTTGGGGAGTTTTAAATTACCTTCAGGGCCTTCGATATCTAAGTTGGGAGTTTTTACTGTGACATCTGGAGATTCCAAGCTAACACCACCCGTTGACAAGTCAATTCCTGGGCCTTCAAGTTTACCTTCCAATTTGGGGGCACTGATATCTCCTTTGAAATGTGGAGCCTTCAAACCTAAACCCCCTCCTGATTTTGAAATGGAAAGATCTGCCTCTCCTTTAATTTTGGGAGTTTTCACATTTATAACTGGCATTGACACTTTTGGTAAACTGACATCGGTTGATGGCATACTAACATTAAAGCCTTTTAGCCTACCCTCAGGATCTTCGATGTTTACATTTGGACCTGATATATCAATACTTCCTTTGGGAAGGGAAGCATTAACGCCTGGACCATCAATTTTTGAACCAGAAACTGCAAATTTTGGCATTTTTAATTTGGGCATTTTAAGCTTGCCTTCTGGGCCTTCAAAATTGACATCTGAGGTCTCCAATTCTATTCCAGGACCTTGGACATCAAGCTCTGGAGCCTTAATGTCAATGTTAGGGCCCTTTATATCTCCGAACTTGGGACCTTTCAAACTAAGGTCAATGTCATGCACTGGCATTTGCGGCATATTCATTGACGGTAACTTGAACTTGGGACCCTTTACTTTTCCATCAATATCTACTTCTGGAGCCTCAAGGTCAACTTTGGGACCTTTCAAATCTCCTGCTATTTTAGGACCTTTCAAATGAATATCAGGCATTGACATTTTTGGCATTGAAGGTAGCTTGAACTTGGGACCTTTTACTTTTCCATCAATATCTACATCTGCAGCCTCGAGGTCAACGTCTGGGCCTTTAATGTCAACTTTGGGACCTTTCAAATCTCCTTCTAACTTTGGCGTTTTCAGATTAAGATCAAAGTCAGGCATTGATACTTTTGGTACATTTGGTAGACCTATATTCACTTTGGGCATTGTAAACTTGGGGCCTTTCAATTTGCCTTCTGGTCCCTCAATGTCTACATCAGGAGCCTGAATATCTACACTTGGACAAGATAGATCGATACTTCCTTTAGGAAGACTAGCATCAATATCTGGACCCTCTACGTTAGGACCAGACATACCAAAGTGGGGCATTTTAAATTTGGGCATTTTCAATTTGCCTTCTGGGCCTTTCAGATTGAAATCTGGGGCATCTAATTCTACTCCTGGACCTTCAACATCAAGTTCTGGGGCTTTAATGTCTACTTTAGGGCATTTCGAATCTCCTTCTATTTTAGGACCTTTCAAATTAATATCAGGCATTGACATTTTTGGCATTGAAGGTAACTTGAACTTAGGACCTTTTACTTTCCCATCCATATCTACATCTGGAGCCTCAAGGTCAACTTCTGGGCCTTTGATGTCAACTTTGGGAGCTTTAAAATCTCCACCTATTTTAGGACCTTTCAAATTAATATCAGGCATTGACATTTTTGGCATTGAAGGTAACTTGAACTTAGGACCTTTTACTTTGCCATCCATATCTACATCTGGAGCCTCAATGTCAACTTCTGGGCCTTTGATGTCAACTTTGGGAGCTTTCAAATCTCCTTCTAACTTTGGCATTTTCAGATTAAGATCAAAGTCAGGCATTGATACTTTTGGTACATTTGGTAGACCTATATTCACTTTGGGCATTGTAAACTTGGGGCCTTTCAATTTGCCTTCTGGTCCCTCAATGTCTACATCAGGAGCCTGAATATCCACACCTGGACCAGATATATCGATACTTCCTTTAGGAAGGCTAGCATCAATATCTGGACCCTCTACGTTAGGACCAGACATACCAAATCTGGGCATTTTAAATTTGGGCATTTTCAATTTGCCTTCTGGACCTTTCAGATGGATGTCTGGTGCTTCTAGGTCTATGTCTGGACCTTCAACATCAAGTTCCGGGGCATTAAGGTCTACTTTAGGGCATTTCAAATCTCCTTCTATTTTAGGACCTTTAGAATGAAAGTCAATATCAGGCATTGACATTTTTGGCATTGAAGGTAACTTGAACTTAGGACCTTTTACTTTGCCATCCATATCTACATCTGGAGCCTCAAGGTCAACTTCTGGGCCTTTGATGTCGACTTTGGGAGCTTTCAAATCTCCTTCTAACTTTGGCATTTTCAGATTAAGATCAAAGTCAGGCATTGATACTTTTGGTACATTTGGTAGACCTATATTCACTTTGGGCATTGTAAACTTGGGGCCTTTCAATTTGCCTTCTGGTCCCTCAAAGTCTACATCAGGAGCCTGAATATCCACACCTGGACCAGATATATCGATACTTCCTTTAGGAAGGCTAGCATCAATATCTGGACCCTCTACGTTAGGACCAGACATACCAAATCTGGGCATTTTAAATTTGGGCATTTTCAATTTGCCTTCTGGACCTTTCAGATGGATGTCTGGTGCTTCTAGGTCTACGCCTGGACCTTCAACATCAAGTTCTGGGGCTTTAAGGTCTACTTTAGGGCATTTCAAATCTCCTTCTATTTTAGGACCTTTAGAATGAAAGTCAATATCAGGCATTGACATTTTTGGCATTGAAGGTAACTTGAACTTAGGACCTTTTACTTTTCCATCCATATCTACATCTGGAGCCTCAAGGTCAACTTCTGGGCCTTTGATGTCAACTTTGGGAGCTTTCAAATCTCCACCTATTTTAGGACCTTTCAAATTAATATCAGGCATTGACATTTTTGGCATTGAAGGTAGCTTGAACTTGGGACCTTTTACGTTTCCATCAATATCTACATCTGGAGCCTCAACATCAACTTCTGGGCCTTTGATGTCAACTTTGGGACCTTTCAAATCTCCTTCAAACTTTAGACCTTTCAGATTAGGACCTTTCAAATTTAGGTCAATATCAGGTACTTTCATTTCTGGCATATGCAGTGAAGGTAGCTTAAACTTGGGACTTTTTATTTTACCATCAATATCTACATCTGTTGCTTTAATGTCAATTTCTGGGTGTTTTAGGCCTACTTTGGGATCTTTTAAGTCTCCTTCAAGCTTAGGACCTTTAAGAGTTAGGTCAACATCTGGAAAAGGCATCTTAACTTTGGAACCCTTAAGTTTTCCTTCAATATCTACATTTGGAGTTTCAAAGTCTACATCAGAAGTAGGTAGTTTGTGAAATTTTAGATCAATATCTGGAGCATCTGGTTTGGTGCCAGAAAATCCGAATTTAGGAATACCAAATTTGGGCATTTTAAGCTTTCCTTTACCTTCTGCACCATCTATACAAACATCTGGTGTCTCCAAGTCTAAATCAGGTGTTTTGATATCAAGCTTGGGGCCATGTAATTCACCTTCAACCTTTGGAACAGACACATCCATATCTCCTTTTAACTTTGGTCCTTTCATGTTTAATTCAACATCTGGCATAGACACTTTGGGACCTGTTATGTTTAATGAAGGCATTTTGAATTTATGACTTTTACCTTTTGCCTCTAGATTTGGTATTTCTACATCAGGACCACCGATTTCAATATCAGCTTTTGGAGCTTTTATATCAGCACTGGGTGTCTGTACCTTGGGAGCTGAGAAATTAAATTTGGGCAGCCTAAATTTTGATTTTTTAGTTTTTGTTTCTGGCATGTCAATGTCTGCTTCTGGCAAACCTATTCCTAATTCGGGGCCTTTGAGACTACCTCCCTTTGTTGCATCAATGTCACCTTTAACCTTACCGCCTTTCAGATTAAGATCTAAATCTGGCATTGATACACTTGGTTTTGAAAATCCCCATGATGGCAATTTAAATTTGGGACCTTTAACTTTACCTTCAGGTAGCTCTACAGATAGAGATGGGCTGGGGATATCAACATCAGGACCTTTAATATCAGCCTTTGGAACCTTTATATCAGCCTCCAGATTTCCGTCAGTTATGTCCACACTCCCTTTTAGTTTGGGAGCTTTTACACCAAGATCTATATCAGGCATATTGGGCATATTAATATCCAATTTAGGCATCTTAAATTTTGGGCCTTTAATCTTGCCCTCAGGACCCTCAATATCCATTTCAGGTGTTTTTATATCGCCTTCTACTCCTTCAATATTGGACCCTGAAAACCCAAACTTTGGCATTTTAAATTTAGGCATTTTCAGTTTACCTTCAGGGCACTCTATATCAACATCTGAAGTCTCTAATTGAAGTTGTGGGCCCTTTATGTCAACATTGGGTCTCTTAATTTCTCCTTCTATTTTGGGTAAAGAAACATCTGCTTCTCCTTTCCAGCTAGGACCTTTGATGTTTAAACCAAAGTCAGGAAGAGACACAGTTGGGAGATTTACTGATGGCATCTTCAATTTTGGGCCCTTTACTTTTCCATCAGGATCCAAATCAGGAGCCTTAAGGTCCATCTCAGGTGCCTCAACATCAATTTTAGGCCCTTTCACATCTCCTAGTTTGGGACCTTTCATACTTAAATCAATATCTGGCATAGATCCCTTAGGCAGATGAAAATTCATTGTGGGCATCTTAAATTTGGGACTTTTAACTTTACCTTCAGGCCCCTCAATATCCAATCCTGCCCCTGTGATATCAAGATCAGCATCAATGCTTGGGCCCTCTAACTTGCCTTCCACTTTGGGGAGAGAAACATCAGTCCCTCCTTTCAAGTTTGGGGCTTTTAAATTCAAATCAATATTGGGCATAGACACATTAGGGAGATTTACTGATGGCACTTTGAATTTCGGTCCCTTAACCTTTCCATCAACACCTACATCAGGAATGTCAATATCCACCTCAGGTTTTTTAATATCAACTTTAGGACCTTTGATATCACCTAATTTTGTGCCTTTCATGCTCAGATCAATATCAGGCATAGTTACATTAGGGAAATCAATGTTAAATGGTGGCATCTTAAATTTAGGACCTTTCAGTTTACCTTCAGGTCCCTCAATGTCCACATCTGGGCCAGACAGATTAAGGTCTGCTTTTGGAAGGTTAATATCCACTTCAGTGCCTTCAACGTTGGGTCCTGAAAACCCAAACTTTGGAATTTTGAATTTAGGCATCTTCAGTTTTCCCTCTGGGCCCTCTGCATCAAGCCCTGTATCAATACCAAGTGCTGGCCCTCTCATGTCAATATTAGGGCCTTTCAAATTTGTTTCTACCTTTGGTAGATCAACATCTACCCCTCCTTTCAATTTAGGCCCTTTTACATTTAGATCAACATCTATATTAGGACCTTCAACTTTTGGTCGGGAAATACCAAATTTTGGCATTTTAAACTTGGGCATTTTAAGTTTTCCTTCTGGATCTTTAATATTTGCATCAGGGACTTCTAAATCAATATCAGGAGTTTCAACATTGAGCTCTGGAATCTTCACTTCAGCTTTGGGACCTTTCAAATCTCCTTCTACTTTAGAGCCCTTCAGACTAAGATCAACATCAGGCATTTTTGGAAAATGTAGTGAAGGCATTTTAAATCTAGGACCTTTTAGTTTACCATCAGCATCTATATCTGGAGCCTCAAGGTCAACTTCTGGACCTTTGATGTCCATTTTAGGACCTTTTACATTACTATCCAAGTTGGAACCTTTTCGATTTAGATCAAAATTAGGCATTGATACCTCTGGTAAATTGAAATGCATTGAGGGCATTTCAAATTTAGGGCTTTTAAATTTACTGTCAATGTCCACTTCAGGAGCCTTAACATCTACATCTGGACCTGATATATCAAGACTTCCTTTCGGAAGGTTAGCATCAATATCTGGACCCTCCACTTTTGGGCCAGAACCCCCAAATTTGGGCATTTTAAATTTGGGCATTTTAAATTTTCCTTCTGGGCCTTTTAGGTTGATATTTGGTGCTTCTATTTCTACTCCTGGAGTTTCACAATCAAGCTCTGGGGCTTTGATGTCCACTTTAGGGCCTTTAAAATCTCCTTTAAAATTTAAGTCAATATCAGGCATTGACATTTTTGGCATTGAGGGTAACTTGACCTTGGGACCCTTTACTTTACCATCAATATCTACATCCGGAGCCTGGAGGTCAACTTCTGAGCCTTTCAAATCTCCTAACTTTGGACCTTTCAGATTCAGATCAAAGTCAGGCACTGAAACTTTTGGCATTTTAAATTTGGGGCTTTTTAATTTGCCCTCTGGCCCCTCAAGATCTACATCAAGAGCCTTAACATTTAAATCTGGAACGGATACATCAAGACTTCCTTTGGGAAGGTTAGCATCAAAATCTGGACCCTCCAACTTTGCACCAGAACCCCCCAAATTGGGCATTTTAAATTTGGGCATTTTAAATTTGCCTTCTGGACCTTTCAGATGGATGTCTGGTGCTTCTAGGTCTACGTCTGGACCTTCAACATCAAGTTCTGGGGCTTTAAGGTCTACTTTAGGGCATTTCAAATCTCCTTCTATTTTAGGACCTTTAGAATGAAAGTCAATATCAGGCATTGACATTTTTGGCATTGAAGGTAACTTGAACTTAGGACCTTTTACTTTTCCATCCATATCTACATCTGGAGCCTCAAGGTCAACTTCTGGGCCTTTGATGTCAACTTTGGGAGCTTTCAAATCTCCACCTATTTTAGGACCTTTCAAATTAATATCAGGCATTGACATTTTTGGCATTGAAGGTAACTTGAACTTAGGACCTGTTTAGTTTCCCATCCATATCTACATCTGGAGCCTCAATGTCAACTTCTGGGCCTTTGATGTCAACTTTGGGAGCTTTCAAATCTCCTTCTAACTTTGGCATTTTCAGATTAAGATCAAAGTCAGGCATTGATACTTTTGGTACATTTGGTAGACCTATATTCACTTTGGGCATTGTAAACTTGGGGCCTTTCAATTTGCCTTCTGGTCCCTCAATGTCTACATCAGGAGCCTGAATATCCACACCTGGACCAGATATATCGATACTTCCTTTAGGAAGGCTAGCATCAATATCTGGACCCTCTACATTAGGACCAGACATACCAAATCTGGGCATTTTAAATTTGGGCATTTTCAATTTGCCTTCTGGACCTTTCAGATGGATGTCTGGTGCTTCTAGGTCTACGCCTGGACCTTCAACATCAAGTTCTGGGGCTTTAAGGTCTACTTTAGGGCATTTCAAATCTCCTTCTATTTTGGGACCTTTAGAATGAAAGTCAATATCAGGCATTGACATTTTTGGCATTGAAGGTAACTTGAACTTAGGACCTTTTACTTTTCCATCCATATCTACATCTGGAGCCTCAAGGTCAACTTCTGGGCCTTTGATGTCAACTTTGGGAGCTTTCAAATCTCCACCTATTTTAGGACCTTTCAAATTAATATCAGGCATTGACATTTTTTGCATTGAAGGTAACTTGAACTTAGGACCTGTTAGTTTCCCATCCATATCTACATCTGGAGCCTCAATGTCAACTTCTGGGCCTTTGATGTCAACTTTGGGAGCTTTCAAATCTCCTTCTAACTTTGGCGTTTTCAGATTAAGATCAAAGTCAGGCATTGATACTTTTGGTACATTTGGTAGACCTATATTCACTTTGGGCATTGTAAACTTGGGGCCTTTCAATTTGCCTTCTGGTCCCTCAATGTCTACATCAGGAGCCTGAATATATCCACACCTGGACCAGATATATCGATACTTCCTTTAGGAAGGCTAGCATCTATATCTGGACCCTCTACGTTAGGACCAGACATACCAAATCTGGGCATTTTAAATTTGGGCATTTTAAATTTGCCTTCTGGACCTTTCAGATGGATGTCTGGTGCTTCTAGGTCTACGCCTGGACCTTCAACATCAAGTTCTGGGGCTTTAAGGTCTACTTTAGGGCATTTCAAATCTCCTTCTATTTTAGGACCTTTAGAATGAAAGTCAATATCAGGCATTGACATTTTTGGCATTGAAGGTAACTTGAACTTAGGACCTTTTACTTTTCCATCCATATCTACATCTGGAGCCTCAAGGTCAACTTCTGGGCCTTTGATGTCAACTTTGGGAGCTTTCAAATCTCCACCTATTTTAGGACCTTTCAAATTAATATCAGGCATTGACATTTTTGGCATTGAAGGTAACTTGAACTTAGGACCTTTTTACTTTCCCATCCATATCTACATCTGGAGCCTCAATGTCAACGTTCTGGGCCTTTGATGTCAACTTTGGGAGCTTTCAAATCTCCTTCTAACTTTGGCGTTTTCAGATTAAGATCAAAGTCAGGCATTGATACTTTTGGTACATTTGGTAGACCTATATTCATTTTGGGCATTGTAAACTTGGGGCCTTTCAATTTGCCTTCTGGTCCCTCAATGTCTACATCAGGAGCCTGAATATCCACACCTGGACCAGATATATCGATACTTCCTTTAGGAAGGCTAGCATCAATATCTGGACCCTCTACGTTAGGACCAGACATACCAAATCTGGGCATTTTAAATTTGGGCATTTTCAATTTGCCTTCTGGACCTTTCAGATGGATGTCTGGTGCTTCTAGGTCTACACCTGGACCTTCAACATCAAATTCTGGGGCTTTAAGGTCTACTTTAGGGCATTTCAAATCTCCTTCTATTTTAGGACCTTTAGAATGAAAGTCAATATCAGGCATTGACATTTTTGGCATTGAAGGTAACTTGAACTTAGGACCTTTTACTTTTCCATCCATATCTACATCTGGAGCCTCAAGGTCAAGTTCTGGGCCTTTGATGTCAACTTTGGGAGCTTTAAAATCTCCACCTATTTTAGGACCTTTCAAATTAATATCAGGCATTGACATTTTTGGCATTGAAGGTAACTTGAACTTAGGACCTTTTACTTTGCCATCCATATTACATCTGGAGCCTCAAGGTCAACTTCTGGGCCTTTGATGTCAACTTTGGGAGCTTTCAAATCTCCTTCTAACTTTGGCGTTTTCAGATTAAGATCAAAGTCAGGCATTGATACTTTTGGTACATTTGGTAGACCTATATTCATTTTGGGCATTGTAAACTTGGGGCCTTTCAATTTGCCTTCTGGTCCTTCAATGTCTACATCAGGAGCCTGAATATCCACACCTGGACCAGATATATTGATACTTCCTTTAGGAAGGCTAGCATCAATATCTGGACCCTCTACGTTAGGACCAGACATACCAAATCTGGGCATTTTAAATTTGGGCATTTTCAATTTGCCTTCTGGACCTTTCAGATGGATGTCTGGTGCTTCTAGGTCTACGCCTGGACCTTCAACATCAAGTTCTGGGGCTTTAAGGTCTACTTTAGGGCATTTCAAATCTCCTTCTATTTTAGGACCTTTAGAATGAAAGTCAATATCAGGCATTGACATTTTTGGCATTGAAGGTAACTTGAACTTAGGACCTTTTACTTTTCCATCCATATCTACATCTGGAGCTTCAAGGTCAACTTTTGGGCCTTTGATGTCAACTTTGGGACCTTTCAAATCTCCTTCTAACTTTGGACCTTTCAATTTCCCTTCTGGACCCTTGATATTTAACTCAGCAGCTTTAATGTCTTTATTTGCACGTGATAAGTCAATGTTTCCTGTGGGCAAACTTACATCTACATTTGGGGCTTCCACTTGTGGCTTAGAAATAGCAAACTTTGGCATTTGAAACTTTGGCATTTTAATTTTCCCTTCTACACCAACATCAGAAGCATCTAACTTAACATCAGGAATATGAGCATCCAGTTCTGGACCCTTTATATTAAAGTCAAGTTCTTTCAAATCACTTCCTAGTTTCGGTTCTTTGAGATCAATTTCTGCCACATGCATGTTTGAAAGTTGCACTGAAGGCAACCCAAACTTGCAACCTCTCATTTTACTATCAACATCTATACCTGGACCATGAAGCTCAATCTTTGGGTCTTTGACATCTACTTTGGCATCTTTTAAATCTCCCTTCACTTTTGAATGTTTAAAACTGAGATCAACATCAGGCACTGACACTTTTGGAAAATTTATATCGACTTGGGGTTTTTCAAATTCAGAACCTTTTAATTTCCCTTCTATCCCTTCAATGTGCAAACCTGTAGCATTAATATCTTTCAAATCGCTTCCTATTTTAGGAACTTTGATATTAGCACCAATATCTGGCACTGACACTTTTGGCAAGTTGGATTTTATTGATTCTATTTTCAGACTAGGGCCTTTTAAATCACCACCGAGGTTACGAATATTCATATCTATATTTGTACCAGACATGTCAATGTTTTGTTCGGCAATGTTTACATCTACACCAGGATCTTTCAAACTGCATTCTGCAATTCCAAATTTCGGCATTTTAAGTTTTGGCATTGCAATATTTACTTCTGACCCTTTCAAAACAGTGCTTGGCAAAGAACCTTTAAAGTCCAAGGACTTTTTTGTCAAGTTCACGGTTTCTTGTAAACCCAACTGAGGACCTTTAATATCTATGCTGGAAGATGCAGCTTGTGAATTTGTGACACCAACTGCAGGAACTTGGAAATCTTTTTCTAGCTTAAATCCATCAAGGTCAGGCTTTTTAATACTAGTCTTACCCTCTGTTGTGTAAACAGATGTTCCAGAAAGTTCAATGCCAGTTTCAGATATCCGTTCATTTTGTTCCCAGGACACCAAATTTTGGCATTTTCATTGACGGCATGTGTATTTTTCCCACAGAACCATCTAAGTTAATATCTGTTCCTTTCACATTGACACTGGGCACAGTCAGGTCTATTTTTGCAGTAGTGGCTTCTCCTTCAATTGATGGTGGAATTAGGTTTAGCTGTGTTTTGTCATGGATATTCCTATCTTGAATAAAGGTTGTCTGAGTATTTGTTCTGTCAAGCTTTGTTTCCAAGAAACCAGACTTTGGCATCTGAAATTTTGGAAGTCCTATATTCACTGACCCACAACTGGTGTCCAAAGGGAGTACATTTTTCTCAGGTGACTTAATGCCTCCAGTTATAGTTGCAGAGTGGGTTTCTTTCATTGTAACATCTGCTGGTATTTCACTACGGGCTGCAGATTCCATTTTAATTCCTTCTGTCTTCATAATGTCAAATTGAGGACCCCTTATCTTCACGCCAGATGACTGGGAGTCAAGTTTAGAGGTTATTGATCTGGTGTCTAGTTTTGGCACCCTAGCAATATCAGGATTTGTTAGGTCAACGTCTACAGAGGAGCTTCCAGCAACATTACGACCTTTAAATCTATCATCATGCTCGGTTTCAAATCTGGATGTCCTCACCTCAAATTTCTTTTCATAGCTTTGAAACTTTGGAGCAGAAACATTTACACCAGGCAAATTGATACTTAAAGAAGTGCTGCCAGCTTGGACGCTTCCATCAGCATCACTGTAGCCTTCAGGAAACTCAAATTGTCCTTTGCCCTGTTCATGGTACCTCACAGTGGTACTGTGTACGTTGACAGAGTCACCTGGCAGGGAAACACTGTGTTCTCTTCCTGCCTGATAGCTTTTACTGGACACATCAATACCAGGAATACGGATAATGGTTTTACCCTCATCTGTCTGCACACTGGTTTTAGATATTTCAGTTATTTCATGACGAGGAATCTTGATTTTATATTCAGGACTGCTTATGTCAATTTCTTTTGAGTCTTTTGCTCCTGTTACATCCACTGTGTAAGCGGTCACTTTCCTTGTAACTGTGATTGTTCTTGTCTGAGTCTCTGGTTCCAGTGTCTCATCTGACTTCAGGCGTGGTTTAATCTTTTTTGTGTAAATTCGTCTGTATTCCTCATCATCCCCACTCTAGAAAACAATACATTAACAGATTGTTGAAGGAATGCCTTACAATCATTGTTGATATAAAAAAACATCTTGTTTAAAGTAGTTGTAAAGGCTCAAGGTTTTTTTTACCTTCATGCATCCTAAAAAAAACCTTCTGTGTGCAGCAAAGTCCCCAGCCCCCTCATTACTTACCTGAGCCCCATAGTGGTCCAGCAAAGTGCACAACAGCATCGGCCGTCCCGGGTCTCTGCTTCCTCATTGGCTGAGACAGTAAGTGGGAGCCATTGGTTCCCACTGCTGTCAATCACAGCCAGTCAGCCAATTGGGGGGGGGGGGGGGGGAACAAGCCGCAGCTCTGTATGTTAATAGACACACGGAGTAGCGGTTTGGGAACAGCCTGCTTGGGTGCCTCCATAGCAAGCTGCTTGCTATGGGGGCACCCGACAGAAAGGAGGAGCCAGGACTGGCAGGGGACCCGAGAAGAGGAGGATCCAGGCTTCACTGTGCAAAACTACTGCACACAGCAAGTAAGTATAACATGTTTGTTTTCTTACAAAAAAAAAAAAAAAAGCTTTAAATATTAGAAACTGTAAACCAGATATTTTAGGGTAATCATAACATTTCTGAGCTTTTAAATTGCATATAAAAATTTCTCATTATCATGAAGCCATTTTTTTTTTTGGGATACAGATGGGTAGAGTTAGAACCTTTGTTCGGCTATTTTTGTGGTTTGTATACCCATAAGGGGATATGTACTCTTGACACAAAAGAAAGTAAGGCAATCTTCCCAAAAGTAAGAGAAGCTCCTATTTGTTGTGACAGTTGCCACAAGAACAGGTATCTTCACTGGGAGATTTGCTCTCTACTTCTTTTCTGACTGGAAGTATAAATCTTTTGATTTCACCTTAATTTTAAAGTCACTCGTTTGCTCTAAATGGTAACCTTACAGCATTTTGTGCATGTATCTCAGTGAAAAGTATGCAGGACACAATTACTCTAGGGTGGGTAGAACACCCTTGGTTGTTGCTCCTACTCCCACATTAACCTAGAGATGTCAGTAGTTTAAAACTAAGCAGTATAATATTTGTCCTTTCAAACTCATTTGTTCTTCCAAGTGAAGATCTGTGATTGTGCTACTGCTGGGGGACCATACCAGTTTTGGGGAATTTACAAGACAATACTTTATTCTGGTATTATGCCTCAATACATTTTTAAGGACCTATACGTATGCATTGTAAATTGTGCACACACACATCAATTAAAGATAGTAATACATATTGCAAACTGGATATACAGTTTTCTTGAGATTTGCCAGCAATTATTCAGTGAGCTTGCCTACTTGATTGAATTACAAGTTAATGGATTGCTATTGCAGGACCTTGCACTGCACAGCTGTTAGCAGGCCTGGACTGGCCATAGGGCACACACCAGGCATTTGCTGCTCCCCTAACACAGGCACTGGATAGGGTTTTACACACAAGGGCAGGTGCAGGCATTCCTCCAACTTGTAGGTGGCACTATATAGAGTTCCTACTCCTTGTTAGGAAAAACGTTGGATTTTTCCTAACTTTCACCAGGACAAAAAGTGAATCTCCCTTGCAGAAACACAGAAAGCAATAACAATTTGCTTTTGATACACTTTAAAGTGCCATTTTTTATTGATACTTGCGTGTGAGCAGGCTGCATCGAAAACAATACATTTTCCCTTGTCCACTGGAAAATGCATCATTATTATTTATTTATTTATTACATCGAGTTTATATAGCGCCAAAGGGTTTGCTCAGCGCTGTACAATAGGGGGGGGACAATACATGGCACAGTACAACAAAAACAGACAGGGTACGAGGGGTAAGTGGGCCCTACTCTTTCAAGCTTACAATCTAGGAGGGAGGGGGTAGTGGAACAATAGGAAGTGGCTGAGGGGATGAAGTGGTGGGAGGAATGAGGGAGAATGGCCGTTAGGTGAGGGTGGGGTAGGCTTCCCTGAATAATGATGCGTCCAATGTCATGCAGAACCTTCATTTACAGTTGCTATTAGTGCACCAGTAATAAAAGAAAAATTAAATAACTTTGCTCACCAGAACAACATCGGGACTTTTCAGGCTGAAGACGTCGTGTGAATAGGTTGCACCAGGCAGAGGGGATCGATCACCTTTTCTCTGTAGCTTCAGACCTACTGTGTGATGGCCGACGGTTGATAGCAGCTTCTGAATGTCCTCCGATGACATGTTGTCAAAATAGACTGTTGCACCCACAATCTGGTCACCTAAACATAAGCAAATAAAAACAAACATTTTCAATATCATTTCCCAGATAATTGTTTCTTCCTGCTTTACCTTCTATGCTCAAATTTTCTTTCCTCCCACCATGGAGGGAAGAAGAAAATCGCTTGATTCCCCCAACAACACAGTGAGTGTTGATGGGGGAATCCATCCCGTGGAACTATTGTTTTCTGCCGGTGGGGATCCTTCCCAGTCAGCCTGGTGGCTTGTCTGCCACCTAGTTTTGACTGGTGGAAGTTGGGGGGTTTCATTCCCCGCCCCCACATAAAGACAGACAAGTGGGTCTACCTGCTGATGGATATATAGTGGGTGTTTCCCTCTTTGTGTCTCTCACTATCCCTCTGGCTGTTAACACTGCTGAGGTTTGTGGCCTGTTCCTAGGATTTTATGGCAGCTTTTAGGTACTTTTTTCCTGTTACACTATGCAGTTTCTTTGTCTTTTGGCATTACATCTGTCTGGTTTGTGGGCTCTTTCTGCCATAACTTTAGGTTCTTTTTTGGCGCCTAAACCAGTGCAACTTATTCTTGTGTATCAAATTGTCACAGGATTAATGTATGTTTTTTCTCCACCCTATTTTTTCAGGCTATATTTGCTTTCACTTTAGCTACTACTATCTGTTATCTGTTCACACATTGTCAGTTTTCTGCCTTGACATTTCGATCCTTTTACATTTAATTTATTTTAGTTACCTATTAAATGTTTGACATCTTGGCCGGCAAACCCCTATTGTGTGGCTCCTGTTTGGTGGTCTCCTGCCCTTTCTACAGATCCTGGAAAAGACAGCTCCCATGGTGCTTTTTCATTGCACTCTTTTTTTTTTTTTTTTGCTGGAGAAGTATTTTATATTCTCACTTATGTTGTATGGTTGATGGGTAAGTTATGCCGTTTTGTTTAGCAACCGCTTCTGAGAATATTTTCTCTTATGGCAGATACCATTTATGCTACTTGGTTTGTTTTTCCTTTTTTTATTATGACATATTAATGACATGGTTTCTCTACAGATATGCTAACAAATATTACCATCTCCTGAAGACATGAACGTTGCTTCACGAAGCGAGTCAAATGTTAGGATATCAACTTGCTATTGCTATATGAATAAATGCTACAACTATTCATTTTTTTAAGTGTTTTTGATATGTTTCTGATAGGTTTCATGTAATTTTAATATGATTGTAATTATGTATTGAAATAAAAACTTGACTTTTTAAAGAATAAGTCTTTTTGACAAAAATAATAAATGCACATTTTTTTGCAGGTAAAACAGAACTCTGTGAATGAGTGACTTGGTTGTGTGGGCGGAACTCCGCAGGGCAGCGCAGTTTTTCAAATCTGACAGATAGTATGGGTGGAATAATGTCACATGTTCCCAAAGGTGAACTTATCCTTTAAGAATGCTGTGATTTGCTGTTTTCAGCGCTACTCGTTTAACATCCCATGAACCAGAACTAATCAAGTGCTGCCTAAGCCTGCCCTTTCCACTCCCCTGCTCCATTCATAGAAGCCAGACTATTGGTTTCCACAATGAAAAGCATTCTGTGATTGATGAAGCAGACCTTTCATTCATCCACCTGTCCTCTATCCGTAGGGCACTTTTTTTACTGTGGAAACCAATAGTAAAGCTTCAATGAATGGAGCAGGGGGGCAAAAAGGGTGGGCTTAGGTGGCATTTGACAAGTGCCTGTCACAGGTGCAGCCACTCATATTAAACCCCTGCAACACTAGAAGATCACAGGGCAGGGGTATCTGGGGGCAGAGAACTTTGATTGTAATTGAACACAGTAGTCACCAGTACACTTAGTATGTACCATCGCTTGTGCTCTTTTTCTTTATTTTAACTGACATTTGTGCGGTCATGCAACGCTGTACATAAAATTAAATTTATGTTCTTTTTTTCCCCACAAATAGAGCTTTCTTTCAGTGGTATTTATCACCTGTGCAGTTTTTTATTTTTTGCGGTATAAACAAAAAAAGACCGACAATTTTGAAAAAAAAACTCCCAATATTTTTGACTTTTTGCTATAAAACTTATCCAGTAAAAAAAAAAATGTCTTCATAAATTTAGGCCGAAATGTGTTATGCTAAAAAATGTCTGCTAACCCCCCCACCACCATTATATGTAAATTAATCAGTTTACGTGAAAGTTATAGTGTCTACAAATGGCAGTATATATGCTGGAATTTATATATATTTTTTAATCCTAGTAATGGCGGAGATCAGCGACCTATAGCGCATTCTGACACTGGGTGAGAACTGACTAACTGCCACTGACATCCCAATGACACCAATACAGTGATCAGTGCTAATAAAAAGCACTGACACTGTACTAATGACCACTGGGCAGGAAAGGGTTAACATCTGGGGCGATCAAAGGGTTAACAGTGTGCTGGTTTTACATAACGTGCTGTGTGTGTTTTACTAGGGAGACATGCTGCTGTGTATTTCTCTGTTGTGCAGAGAAATACACAGCAGTATGTCCTTGGTGGCAGGAGAGAGACCTGTGCTGTTTACACATGGATCTCTCCCCTGTAAGTGTTACTCAGCGATCACCAGGTGCCGGCGGGTAATCTCCGAATGGGACCCAGTGATTGACATGCCCAGCCGCCAACGGCAGCGCGGGTAGGACGGCACGCATGCTCCTGCCCCCTACCCGGAAATGCAAATCAAGTATATATACATGATTTTGCACAGCCCTGCCGCCCTGTAGCAGTGATTCTACTATAGGGAGGCGGGCAAACGGTTAGACATATTTATAAGGAACATATATGTAAAATAGATAACGAGCGTTTAATATCACTTGGTTTAATCCCTTTTCTTTAATCTATCAGCAGTCTACTTTCAGCAACAAATTATGGTTTTATTTAGAGTAATCCTTATGCTGACGCTGAAGCACTTACCTTCTTTAACAACTCCCGTTTTGGCAGCCGGTGAGTTCTCCACCAATTGTTTTACAAACACTCCTTCGTCATTCTGGTCTAGGGTCAATCCCATAGACCCGCTGCCTTTCCAGTTGGGTAGCAAAACTTCACGTGTATCCTCCTCCTCCATCTTTAAAAATAGAAGGAACATAACTTTAGCACCAAGAATACATTAACATGCATTAAAAAAAAAAAAAAAAAAAAGAAAGAATGACCAGCTTAAGAGGTGATAAATTGCTCAAGAGCAGGGGTGTCAAACTGGTGGCCCTCCAGCTTTTGCCAAATTACAAGTCCCATGAGCCAATGCAAGATTGACAGTTACAAGCATGATGGGACTTGTAGTTTTGCAACAGCTGGAGGGCCGCCAGTTTGACACCCCTGCTTCTAGAGCCTATTTCCACCAATCAGGTCCATTGTGGTGTTTTTAAGTGTCAAGTTGTTTCAAAAGCCTTGGTGTTTCTTTTTTTAACCTTAATGCATAAAGTAAAAAACACCTCACTATTTTCCTTGAACATTTACTTGAGCCTGTCTCGAGGGACCAAAAATTGGGGGGTGGGCTTTGGGTCAACATGCTGTTGGAGGGCGGGGCTGAGCCACACTGTGTGTCTACAGATGCACACAGGGTAACTCGGTATCAAGCCTGCTCGAGTGCCCCCATAACAAGTCTCTTGCTATGGGGTACACTCAGAAGAGCAGGAGCCTGGAGCCCCTGCCCAGAGGAGGCAATCGGGGCCTCTCTATGTAAAACCATTGCACAGAGGAGGCAAGTATGACATGTTTATTATTTTAATTTGAAAAAATGTTAAGAGTGTTATGGTGCCAGTCATCATCATTGCACCTTAGAAGTGATTATAGACCAGCAATGGGCAAACTACGGCCCGCGGGCCGTATACGGCCCGGCGGACCTTTTAATCCGGCCCGCGGAGCTAGGCTCCCGCAAGGCCAGTGGTCGGCAAGCCGCGGCTCTTTACAATAGATGCGGCTCTCCTGTGTGCCGGGCGCCCGCTCCCCTCCCTCCTCTCGGGCGGGCGGGCGACCTCCTCTCCTCCTCTCCCCTCCCCTCCTCTCGGATGGCCGCCCCCCCTCTAGGATGGCCGCCCCCTCCCTCCTCTCGGGCGTCAGGACTCTGCAGCTGTCAGGATGTAGGCGGGGCAGCCAGGATGTAGGCGGGGCAGCGTGACGAACTCTTCTCTCACAGTCCTCCCTGAAGACCAGAACGGCGCGGGAATACGAGAGGAACGCGCGGAGGAGCAAAGGTAAGTGAATTGACACAGGGGGGACTTACTATATGGGGGACTTACTATATGGGGAATGAATTACTATATGGGGGACTTACTATATGGGGAATGAATTACTATATGGAGGACTTACTATATGGGGAATGAATTACTATATGGGGGACTTACTATATGGGGGATGAATTACTATATGGGGGTCTTACTATATGGGGAATGAATTACTATATGGGGGACTTACTATATGGGGAATGAATTACTATATGGGGGACTTACTTTATGGGGAATGAATTACTATATGGGGGACTTACTTTATGGGGAATGAATTACTATATGGGGGACTTACTTTATGGGGAATGAATTACTATATGGGGGACTTACTATATGGGGAATGAATTACTATATGGGGGACTTACTATATGGGGAATGAATTACTATATGGGGGACTTACTATATGGGGGACTTACTATATGGGGGATGAATTACTATATGGGGGATGAATTAATATGGGGGATGAATTACTATGTGGGGGATGAATTACTATGTGGGGGATGAATTACTATGGGGGATGAATTACTATATGGGGGATGAATTACTATATGGGGGATGAATTACTATGTGGGGGATGAATTACTATGGGGGATGAATTACTATATGGGGGATGAATTACTATATGGGGGATGAATTGCTATATGGGGGACGAATTGCTATATGGGGGACGAATTGCTATATGGGGGATGAATTACTATATGGGGGATGAATTACTATGGGGGATGAATTACTATATGGGGGATTAATTACTATGCTTACTATGGGGGAATATTACTATACTTACTATGGATGACACATACACATCATTCATCTACTCTTGGTCCGGCCCCCGGGTCCAATATATGAACCCATTGCGGCCCTCAAGTCAAAAAGTTTGCCCACCCCTGTTATAGACACTAACATGCAATAGTGTGAAGGAGTCCTTAGAGAGCTCTAAAACCTTTTGGTTTTTTCATGTTTAGCAACAGGTTGGACGACTGTTAAAGATAGTTACAAAAAAAAAAAAAAAAAAAAAAGATATACAAAAACACACACACACACACACACACACACAGACAAATAATTCTGAAACTGATGGCAGCAACACTTCTCAAAACAGTTGAGACAAGACCATGTCTACCACTCCGTTAAATGAATAGGGGATGCTACAATTCTTGTCCCATTCTAGGATTTTAACTGCTTAACAGTTCTGGGTCGTCTTTTGTCATATTTTTTGTTTGAAGATGCGCTAAATATTTTCAGCTGGTGAAAAGTTTGGACTGGAGGCAGGTCAGTTAAGCACACGAACTCTTATACTATGAACCAGGCTGTTGTCAGATGCAGAATGTGGTTAGCATAGTGCTACTGAAGTATGCAAGGACTTCTCTGAAAAAGACATTGTCTGGATGGGAGGATATGCTGCTCTAAATTCTGGATTTATCTTTTAGCATTGATGGTGCCTTTCCAGAGCTGTCTATTCAGTACACATTAATGCACCCCCATACCATCAGAGATGCAGTCTTTTGAACTGAGCACTGATAAGCCAGGAGGTCCCTCTCCTCTTTAGTCCAATGGACAACGGCGCCCATGGTTGCCAAAAACAATGTCAAATTTCAATTCAACCACAGAGCAGTTTTCCACTTTGCAACAGACCATTTTAAATGAGCTTTGGCCAAGAGAAGTTGGCATCATTTCTGGATCACGTTCAAATATGGCTGCTTCTTTGCATGATAAGAGCTTTACTTTGCATTTTTGGATGGCTCAGCTAACTGTATTCACAGACAGCGATTTTTGGAAGTATTCCAGTGCCCATGCAGTGATGTCCATCACGGAATCATGCCTGCTTTTATTGCAGTGCCATCTGAGGGCCTGATGATCACAGCATCCAAATATTGCATTCCTGTCCCTTACACACATTTCTCCAGATTCTTGGAATTTTTGGATATTATGTACTGTAGATGATGATATAATTACGTTGAGGAAATTGTTTGACATTTTTTTTTAGATGCAGCGTTTCACAGACTGGAGAACAACCTCTGCCCATCTTTACTTCTGCGACACTCTGACTCTACGGTGCTCTTTTTTATACCCAGTCATGTTACTGACCTGTTGCCAATTAACCTAATTAGTTGCAAAACATTCCTCAAGCTCTGCCTCGTTAGGAGCACTAAGGCCCCTTTCACAGAGCGTTCTGTTTTTTTCATCATCCTTTTTTTCTTGGGGAAAAAAAAAAAGGTGACTCCGTTCACATCAGTTTTTCATCCGTTTACATCTGTTTTTCATCCGGGTTTTCTCATCTATTTACATCCGTTTTTTGTCAGTTTGCATCCGTGTTCATCGGTTTGTCCGTTTACATCCATTTTTCATCCGTTTAAATCTGTGTTCATCCGTTTACATCCGTGTTTGTCCGTTTATATCTGTGTTCATCCATTTACATCTGTGTTCATCCGTTTTTCATCCGCGTTAATCAGTTTCCATCCGTTTTTCATCTGTTTACAACTGTATTCATCCGTTTCTTGTCCATTTACATCCGTGTTCATCCTTTTGTCTGTTTACATCCGATTTCATCCATTTTCATCCGTTTCTTGTCTATTTACATTTGTGTTCACCTGTTTACATCCGTGTTCATCCGGTTTTAATCAGTTTACATCTTTGTTCCATCCGTTTCTTGTCCATTTACATCCGTGTTCATCCGTGTGTCTGCTTACATCTGTGTGTCTGCTTACATCCGTGTTCATCCATTTCTTGTCCGTTTACATCAGTTTTTCATCCGTTTACATCCGTGTTCATTCGCTTACATCCATGTTCATCCGTGTTCATCGGTTTCTTGTCCATTTACATCCGTGTTCATCTGTTTACATTCATGTCCATCTGTTTACTTATGTATTCATCCGTTTGTATCCATGTTCATCTGTTTACATCCGTTTTCATCTGTGTTCATCCGTTTCTTGTCCATTTACATCCGTGTTCATTCGTTTACATCCATGTTAATCTGTTTCCATCTGTGTTCATCCGTTTCTTGTCCATTTACATCAGTTTACATTAGTGTTCATCCGTGTGTCCGTTTACATCTGTGTTAGTCCATTTACATCCATTTTTCATCCATTTCTTGTCCATTTACATCAGTTTTTTCATCAGTTTTACGTCTGTGTTCATCCGTTTACATCCTTGATCATCCGTTTCATCCGTTTTTCGTCCGTTTACATCTGTGTACATCTGTTTTTTGTCCATTCCATTTTTTTTTCAAACAGAAGAAAAATAGGGTTTTCTTCCGTTCAGAAAAATTGATGTTAACGAATGCGGACAGTAACAGATGTAAACAGACGATCATCTAGTCCATAGAAATACATGGGTGTCTGTTTTTCCTCCGTACACAGACAGATGAAAAACAGACATACAGAACGCCCATGTGAAAGGGGCCTTTGCTTTTATTGCCTTGTCCCAACTTCTTGAGATATGTTGCTGCTATCAACTTCAAAATGTACCATTTTAAGAAAAAAATAAGACCATTTGAAATGGTTTCTATCTTCTATAGTGAATAAATATGGGTTTATAGGATTTGCAACTAATTGCATTCTGTTTTTATGTAGGATTTTACAGTCCCAACTTCTTTCTAGGAATTGGGGTTGTATGGATGGATGGATAGCTAGATAACTAGATTGATAGTAGTTGTATTACATTCAACTAGTTTGAAAAAAAAAAAATCACAAAATATACACCAACTCTCTACCATGTCATGTTAATTAAGCACATCAAGTCATGCTTCACAAGATTCCCATAAATGTTATTAAAAAAATACACAAACCAGTATAAAGTAGTGAAATAAATCGCTCTACTCCAAATCAACAATAGTAGCATAGTCCGC